GGTGTGTGTCGGTGTGTGTGTGTGTGTGTGTGTGAGTGTGGTGTGTGTGGTGTGTGTGTGTGGTGTGTGTGTGTGTGTGTGAGTGTGCGCGCTCGGAGTGTGTGTATTTGTGTATCGGCGGTCCCGGAGGTCCCGGATGTTGCGGACAGTATGAGGCGAGCGCAGGGGGACGGGGACCAGCAGCTGTCGCCGCCGCTTTCAGGTGAGTGGGGGGAGGAGTGTCGAGGGTGGGGGTTATCCTGCCGGGTGGGGGGGCGCCTCCCTTAAGACGTGACTAACCCCATTACTCCCCCACACACATATTCTCTGCCCCATTTCCTACTCCTTGGTTACTTGGCCTATGAATACCAGAACCTAGTCAACCGTCTCTTCTCCCTATCCCAAGCATTCAGAAGACACAAACGCGCCCCCTGCCTTCAGCCCCCCCATCATTTCCCAGCCCCATCCCCCTTGCCAAATAGTGAGCTGTCGCCTGCGGCGAGATGGGTGATTGCGCATGCGCGAGTGTGAACGAGCTCGGGGTGCCTGTTCGCTGCCCTTGGGGCGCATGCGCATCACTGTGTTGCAGGGACCTACGGGATAAAGAGCCCCTTCACCACGCGCCCGCCGCCTTCCCAGGCAATGGGCTAGACTTGCTGCCCAATAGTGAGCCTGTTGCTACTATCTGAGAGGGAGAATTTAAATTATGTGAGTGGCTTAAGGACAAAGCACTATTCGCATCTGGTGTTGCCCTAGAGACTCCCAGACTACCACGCCGCCCACAGCCAATATGTCCCATGCTGACCCTTCCTTTGAAACTACCACTGCAACTTCTGGTTCTAAGATTACTTTTCCTCTACTCACGTTGTATCTTTAGTGTAAACTTTCCCTAAATTTAGGAGTAGATGTCCCAACCCATTTATTCTGGTGGGGGATTTTGATAGCTTTGCTAAAAGAAATGAAGGGGGAATTCCTTTTAGTAAAATTCTTAATTACCCTCACAGAATTAGGTAAGGAAGGGCTGAAGAGCACGCACAAAAGCTTAGGTCACAAAAAGTAAATCAAGACTTAAGGATTCTAAGTTACCAGGGCTCATACTTTGTGTGACCTGTTTGCCTCTTTTTTTTTTTTTAATCAAAGATCTTCCTTAGAGCTTTTGTTTTAGCTGTACATTATTAATGCCCTGTGACCATCACATGAAAACAAAGGCAGTCTGAAACACTTGATGAACAATAATTTGTCCAGTGAAGGTTTTAATTTTAAATAATGAGTAAGGTGTTTTCTTTCTCATTGGAAAATCACAAAAACAATTTAATATAAAGAATTTTAAGGTACAATAATGTTCCAGTGAACTAGGACCTGGGTTTCAGTTGGCTTGTTATATTTGGTCCTTTAATTTGCTCCTGTGTTATGACTTTCTTGGATAGTTGGCTGCATCTTACCTCTGCCATCAGAAAGAAAAGATAAACTCTTTCTTAGCAGAAGACTTTGCTGAAGAGTGTTGAATAGCTAAATTGTGGGGGGAGCACAAAGGGGAAGGAAGAGACATTTTCTGTTTTTCAGTTATCCTGCCAAACTTGTCTCCTAAGTGGATAAATGGAAATGGAAAGTAAGCCTTTCTAGTCTTTTCCTTTAATATTCTTTTCTCAAAGTCTCCCCATTCTTAAATCTAGGATCTCATGTTTTAAGGCCTTAAAGTATGTATGTGTGTATAAGTATGTAATGTATGTGTGTGTGTGTGTTTTTTTTTTTTCCACTTCCCCATTTAACCCTGGTTTTATGTGGTTCAGCTGTCTTTTGGGTTATTTCCTGTTGCCATAATACTGTTGGAGCCAAGAGATGAAATAAGAGAAACTACAGGGATTTGGGGTACATATATCATTCTATGTGCTGGGAAAGAGCTAGAGACTCACCTTTTTTCCCCTCATGCTGAGAAGTATATGTTATTGTGACAGCCCCACACTTAGGATCCGAGTAGTTGGTATCCATTTGGTACTTTGATGATTTCTCCTTTTGGAGCAATCTGTATAGTGACTAGTTTTGTAGTTGGAAATACTTAATGTCACCCATGATCCAGACTTGGATCAAGGTTTTGGCAAAATCTAGAAGTGAGGTAATAAATTCTGTCTTCTCAGTAGGCTTCTGTCATCTGGGATGCTTTGTTCTTATCTGGAAACGTTTTATCTAGTGGAATTCATTGAAGCTTTGTTTAAATTTTTGATGGTACAAAGACATGAAATGCTTTTAGGATTAAGATAAGTATTGTTAAATAATTTGTATTGGTGTAGAGCCTTGTTTTAAAAAAATCACTCTTTAAAACAAAATGGGTAATACATGTACATACATATGAAATAAAATTCAGAAAGTACACAAAAAGAATGAAAAGCTTTTTAGCGCCATCCTCCTGTCCATCTAGTGACCCTCCCCAAAGTCAGTATCTTGTTTATCCTTCCAGAGAGAGTCTATGCAGTTTACAAGTACATATGCCTGTACTTTGGTTGGTTGGTTGGTTGGTTTTTGTTTTACACAATGATAGATACTGTACCTGTTATTCTGAAATTTTCCTTTTCACTTAGTTTTGTCTTGGTGATCATTTCATACAGTATATGCAGTATCTCCTTGTTTTTGAAAGATGGCAGGTATTGCATTTTTATAGAGGTATTTCAGCCAATTCTTACTATTGGACATTTGTTTCTAGAGCTACAATTAATTCTTTATGTGTACTTGGATATCTGATTAAATTCCTAGAGAAGTGATAGATCAATGTGTGTGTGCATTTTTTTTGCTTTCTATAGAGGTTGTATGTGTAACAGTGCAAGTCTGCCTGTTTCCTCACCAGTACTGTTTTATCAAAATTTTTAATCTTTTGTGCATTCTTTATGATTTTAAAGTTAATTATGTAGTTTGTTATGCTTCATTACACAAAGGAGTTGTGAACAAATACAGTCACTGTTTTTTTCTTTTTTTAAATTTTTTTAGTTGTAGATGGACACAATATTTTTATTTATTTGTTTGTTTGGTTATTTATTTTATGTGGTGCTGAGGATCAAACCCAGGGCCTCATGTGTGCAAGGCAAGTGCTATACCACTGAGCTACCACACCAGCCCACAGTCACTGTTGTAAAGATCAAGGATGGTAGAAGAAATTGTGCAACTGAAAAATAATGCCATGAGAATGAAGCCATATATCTGGATAACTGCTACATCCTTGACAGTGCTAGGGAGGCATATAAGACCTATATTCTAATTTCTTCTCTTAACTCTTAGATGCTAGTTTCTTTTTTTTATTATTTTTAATTCTAATTTGTTATATGTGATAGCACAATGCATTACAATTCATATTACACATATAGAGCACAATTTATCATATGTCTAGTTGTATATAGATGCTAGTTTCTTTATGTGAAACTCTTAAACCTGTAAGTGATGTTTTGTGATATCCTTTTGATAGCTGTGATGTGAGATTGATTATCCAAATGAATTGCTGTTCTCTTGAAGAACCAGTTAGTTAAGGTGCTTTACTGAGTGCCTACTGTTGGTATTTGCACTTTTAAAAGTCTGCTGATTACAGATTACTTCAGTATAAGCCATGAAGAAATAGAAAAGAATGAAAAGATGTCTGTGTTTGGAACTTATAGTCTTACTAGGAAACCAGATCTACTGAATATACGAAATATAAGAGGACAGTTAGAAAATAGATGTGAATAGGATTATATTGGACTTTGTGCTGAAACAATCTTGCAAGGAAGTGATCAAAGGTATAGGAGAATTTGCTCAGGAGGACTTCTTGGAAGAAGTGCATTTTGAACCTTTTTACCCTTTTTTCTTTTGTAAACAACTGTTTAAGTAAAAATTAAATATACAGAAAAATGGAAAGAATAGTATAGATAACATCTTTATGCCCATCACTTTGATTTAGCTGTTGTTCACATTTCTGCTATACTTGCTTTATCTATCTATATGTATACATATGTGTTTAGATACATAATATGTACATTTTTGTACTGCAGATATCATGACACTTTACCCTTAAATACTTTAGATGTATCTCCTTGAAATACATTGTTCTATATTTTAATTGTCCTTACAGTACTTGTTACAGTTCAGGCAGTTAATAGTAATGCTGATATTCAGTTTCTTTCAGATTTTCCCAGTTGCCTTGAACATGACACTTTTTTTTTTAGCTGTTTATTTATTTTCTTTCAAACATGTCTCTCTAGTCTTAAAAATACAGAAAAGTTTAGAAACCACACAACATGTTTTTTTGTTGTTGTTGTCTTTAAGAAACAAGATCATTTATGTTATAGCATATACCACTTCTGGAATTTTCCAGTTGTTTCCTAACTATTTAATTTCTTTATCCCTGTATTACCTATAAACTAGTATTAAGTCTAAAGGCTTGATTATATTATCATTAAACATTTTTGGTAAAAAAATACTTCTCAGATGTTGTTCTGTTCCTCATGGCATCATATTAGGAAAAACATTAATGTCATAGCCCTGTAATGAATAATGTTAAGTTTGATCATTTGTGTTTCAGGTGATAAATAACAGATCTCTTCATGGTAAAGATGTTTTTCACTTTGTAATTAGCAAGTAATCTGTAGAGAAGTGCCCCTCTGGCACCATACTGTTAATACTTCTCCTGCATCCTTTAAAAAGATGGTCCTTGCCTGAATCAGTTAATTCACTGGTTGTTACAAAATGGTGATATCTAATTGTACTAGACCTTTTTACATTGGTTTTAGATTGGTTTTCATCTTCTTTTTTTTTTTTTTAAAGAGAGAGTGACAGAGGAGAGAGGAGAGAGAGAGAGACAGAGAGAATTTTTAATATTTATTTTTCAGTTTTTGGCGGACCAACATCTTTGTTTGTATGTGGTGCTGAGGATCGAACCCGGGCCGCACGCATGCCAGGCGAGCGCGCTACCTCTTGAGCCACATCCCCAGCCCGGTTTTCATCTTCAATGAAGATTTTTCTCATCACTTTGGAATAAATTATAATTTCTACTAAATAGAGGATTTCTTAATTCTTTCAACGCTTTTCTAAGAAGGGAGATGGTCAGCTTTAATGGTAGTAAATGAATTTTCCTTTTCTCTCTTTTAGTATCATCATGAACTCATGGCTTTTAATTTATTATGTTCTACCAACAATTACAATCTTTGTGATGCACAAGATGTTCCATATTTGGCCTGTGGGAGCCCTTTCAGCTCAGTGTGTGAG